ACGCGGCCTCTGCTAGCGCCCCGCGTCCGCGTTCCTGAGCCTGCCAAGCCTATTACGCTTCCTGTTCTATCCCCATAGCAACTCTTTATCATGCATTGCACAGTTGACTTGAACTGAGATTGTTGGATTGGGATCGTTAGATGGGGATATCTAATCAGGTAATTTCAGACGTCAGAGTTGAGGTCACGAGACAGACACTAGTACCAATGTCACAATATGCACCACACTTCTCTACAGCATGTTTTTACATTATGATTTTCTCTGAACTCACTTGACATTGGACCGTAATAAATCCAGGCTTCTTCTATTAATCCATGACAAACGTTTCGGTCATCGAAATGTCAATACTGTAATACCCAACGCCACCTAAAAGCATTCCACTCTCCAACTACCATCCCATCTAACCGTCCACACCCCTCCCTTGAAGCACCTCTACCTTTCGCTCCTCCACCGTACTAAAATCCTTACGTGCGCTAACCAACCAATATACACCCGCAAAAGAAGCAACAATAACATATACCACAGAAACATCTATTCTCAAATCAGCACAATCCACTGTAATACGTATCCAAGCAGATAACTAGGAAGGGGTGAACTCACAATTCATATTACCCGGCTTAACAGGCTTCGCATAAGGGAACGAGTACATGACAAGCGTGAACAGCGTCCAGACAAGCAACACAACGTTTGCAACCGCACCCCAAGGACCCAGCCAAAACGGGCCATGATCGATATTGTTACGACCTCGAAGCAAAAGACATATAACGGGGATGGCGTAGCTGAGGTACAGAAGAACAATACATGCTGCGATCATTCTACAACACATCCCGTCAGTTCAGTCATATCCACGTGATATGAGAAGAAAGAGAAGGGAGAAAGAAAAAAAAAGGGAGAACTCACGAATTAAACGCCGTCAAAGACGCCAGATACAAACACCCCATGACAGCCACAACCCCACAACTCGCCGCATGCGCATAAAGCGGTACATCCAGCGCCGGATGCACCTGCGCCAACCACCGATGCCCCGGCACACCCCTATCGCGCGCAAAGCTCCAGCAAAGCCGACTCTGCCACGTATGACTCGCCACCAAACACCCGAGTCCTGTAACGATAATCAAGCTCTCGAGCACAATAGCGCCCGCGGTACTCTTATCCAACGCACGATAAAAAATCTCGAGAATAGGGACGCCCGTTGCCGAAGCACTGATATCAGCAAAGTCGCCTACGATGGAGAAGAAGATGGCGACGGAGAAGAACCAGCTTGTTACGAAGCCGATGGCTACAGTGCCCATGATGGCGATGGGGACCATTTTCTCGGGGCAATGGATTTCCTCGGCGAGATGCGTGGCGCAGTCTAGACAGGCAAAGGCCCAGTTTGTATTTACGAGGCCGACGATAAAGGCGATGCCGTTTTCGCTCCAGCCCGTGTTGTTGATGAAGGTGGCGAAGACGAAGCGGGCGTGTTGGTGCGTGGGTGCTACAGCGGGGACGGTGATGAGGATGACGAGGAAGGACACGAGCGAGGTCCAGAGCGTGGTGCTGCCGACCGAAGGCAGGATCTTGCCGTAGCAGTTGAAGAGGAAGCAGAAGAGGTTCGAGAGTTGGTAGGCTAGGAAGACGTGCCAGGTTTTGATCGTGCTTTAGCATGCACAGTATACTTAGTACTTCCTTCTTTCTATCTCTCTCTCTCTCTCTCTTTCATATAGACACACACACACATACACACATATCTCTTCATCACATGACATTTCATTCACCTCCTCCCCCCCCAACATAATCAAGAAAAGAGAACAAGGAAGGGGACGGGATATGGGGAAACAAGGAATATAAAAAAAAAATCAAACTTACAACTCAGGATGCCCCAACTGCCAACACCCCACAACCGCCCCCCCAACAGCCAACGCAACAGACGCACTCGTAAACATAGCCCCCCACCACGCCAACCACCCCGTAACATAACTCGCGCCCCTCCTCCACCTCCCCGGCGCCAACACCCCCGCCCAAAAATACTGCCCTCCTGCATTCGGCATCGCACTCGCCAACTCACTTAGACTAACTCCCACCGCCGTCGAAATCAGCGCAATCAGCAAAATCCCGTAGATAACGAGGAGCGGACCGCCAGAATTGATGCCGGTGATGAGGGCGGCCGAGATGCCGAACCACGAGTTTGTGATTGAGAAGCCGACGCCGAGGACGGACCAGACGGTGTATTTGCGGCGCATGTCCTGCGTGTAGCCCATTGAGGCGAGTTTGAGGGCGTCGGCGTCGACGGAGGTGAGGCTGGGGGGTGATTCTGCGTCGTGGGTGGCGGCAGCGGTGAGAGAAGCATCGTGGGTTAGGACCTCCTTTTGCGTTGGGGCTGGGGGTTTGGTTTCTGATGAGGCATTGCGTGTCATTCTTTCAAGTGGGGAGTAGTAGCCTAGCAGCTAGATGAAAGAAGGGGGGGGAAGAGAAGGGAAGAGTAAATATGTTTTTAGAAGAAAAAAAAGCCAATGGATCAAGTTGCTACACGATTATCCTGGTACAGAATGCTTTTATGCATGGTGCCAAGTGCGGGTTCGCGGGAGGGGGATCATTAAAGCTTATATGCCGGCTTGCAGGACGTAAGAACTCATCTTATAGGATGCTTCGGCACTATTATGGAGGGGAAGGGGGGGGAGAGAAACAAACAAGTCGTAGATAAGGAAGTAGCAAATCATCGTCGGTCGAGCTGATAAAAGGAATTATACATTTGTATTGGTTGCCGAGCTGTGCACAGCTTTCGTTCGCGCTTACTATGGTGTGTGGTGAGAGAGTCCAGGTCCCCTACTAGCACGGGACAATAGGGATGGCGTGCAACTTGCGCGAATGCACAAAGAGCTGGGCTATACAAGCAAGGTGAGTTTTTTGACCACGGCTTGATATTAAGCGAATCCTACTTTATGAGCAAAGCTGAAAGCATGGACTACGCGAAGCAGCTGTGAAAGTGGGTCAATGCAATCCTTCGGTCGGGAGACCATGTGTCGTGGTCGTTTATACCATGGTGCTTTTAATGCGCGGGCTGGCTAGTATACTTAGGTCTAGAAGAACAAAGCAACGTGTGGATTGGTGGAAACGCAAAAAGGTTCGAACCAACACACGGGACCGACGGTATCAATGGCCGGGAAAGGGTACTGGTGATGTAAAAGAAATCGAGGTCTGTGTGTCACGTTTGGTCCCCAGCCAAGGGCATTGGCTCTGCGGAATGCGGGGATCGCTCGAAGAAGTAAAATGCCCTGCGACGGGACGAGGCCGGCATCCGAGCGGCAGAGTGACGCGTATCGTGGCACACAGTCAATAAGTTCCCAGGATCTACACAGTATGGACGCATGAGATCCAGTCAAGTGTACGAGGCGAGCAGAGCAGGTGGGTCTGCGCAATCCATGCTCAGACCTCCCCCCCCCCATGTCTTCGAGAAAATCGTTGGCTGTGAGCACCGTGGGCAGGAGAAGAAGAAATGGTACAAGACGGGAAGCTCTCTTGTCGCACTACAGTTACGCCGTGTGTATCTTTAAGTGGAGAGTTTCAGCGGAGCGGCCCGTTACTGTGGCCTTGCGGTAGCTGGCAGGGAAGAAAAGAGGTCAGCCCTATGGCGGCAGTAGTAGTCAGCGTAATCAAAAGACTTGTGGTCCGACACACGCCATACTTCTGTCTCATCAAGCAGTTACCTTGTCTGGGTATGTGCGTTGTTCGAAAAAAAGAAAAAGGCCAGGACCCTGATTTTTGAGTGCTGATAATCTTCATCTGCGTATCCATAGGGCGTTTCGTCACCCCCACAAGCCTCATTCGCCCAACCGTGGCGCTCTTTTGCATTCTCTCAAACACCCTCTTTATAGGTGCACGGCTTCTTGATAAAGTTCCGAACTTGCCGGTGGCGGGAGCGCTCGCACCGGTGGGCTGCCTGTGTTCCCCGTACGTGTACACCGACATGGTATCACCATGTGTACTCGTATTGAAGCAATAGGCCAAGATGATTGCTCCCTCCATTTCAAATGTGTTCATGTAGCCGGGGTTTCCTAGTCGCCTCGAGTCCTCTTTGCGTATACATAGGGCTTCACAAAAAGTGATGCATTCGCGGGTGTAACGGAACCTCGAGGGCATTCTTTTGGAATCTGTGATCTAAACGGACCGCAAAGGAAACCTTGCAACAAACCTTGGGCGAGTCGTGCACAAGATTAGAGGTAACGTTACATCTTCAGACCTCGTGTCCCGAGTGTAGTTTAGCAATAGTAGAGTGGTGCGGGTAGAGTAGTCAGAAAGAGTGCGCGTAAGTGGTGTATGTGTGGGATCACTAGTCTTGAGTTTATCGGGGCTACGTTGTGGATTCAAAAGGGTGGTGATGAACAAACCGACTAGAAAAAAAAGGTAACCGCATGATCACAAAAAGTACGGAGAGTTTGGTGTTGGGGCAGTGGGCACGTCATCTTCTCCCAGAAAGGCAAGTATGGGGCGACAAAACAGGAAGCAATGCCCAGACCAAACTAGGCTTACAGGGAAGTAGCGGCCCACGAACAAACGGGACACAAGTGAGAAGGTGGAGCGTAGAGTGAATTATCGTACTGCATTCGACCCGATGCCATGGGCAGCGAGAGAGAGGGGGAGAGAGAGAGAGATCTGATCTAAACAGTACCTGCTAAATGAGACACCAAATGCTAGAGATGTCGAGGGTGACGGCAAAAGGAGATGAGAACAAAGAAAACACCACACCACGCCAATATCTGCGTAAGGACATACAGTCGTCCGACAAGTGCAACTGCATTTCTCTCCAACATTGCGTGCCCACATGATATCGTGCTGCTACTACACTGCTGCTACCGCCATTGTAATGCGAAACTCCGCATCTCGTACACCGGCGCGACCGCTCGCCGAGCGACACCGTGATTACTTTTTTGCCATTATGTGGGTATCCATATCCAGTTACTATGCGCCTTGCGAGGAGTTGACCTGCTACCGAACCGGTAGAAGTATACATGTATTAACGTCTAGCCCAGCTTCTGGTCCTGGGGGTAGTGACCTCCAGGATGGCGGGGCATGCCTTGTTGCGCCATGGGGTACTGGTTTGACTGCTGCTGCTGTTGCTGCAGATAGCTCTGGTAGTGCAGAGCAGCCTCTGGGGTCATGTAGGCTTGGGGCATGGCCTGGTTGTTGGGGGGCATGCGGGGCTGGCCCGGTGGCACTTGAGCGTGGTTGTCCTCGGGCGACTCGACCGTGTCGTTGTCGACACCGTTTGCATCGCCACTTGAGGGCTCTGGGGCATTCAGGCAGGCCTGCGGGCGTGGTTAAGAATGGAATGCGAAAGGGATTGGGTTGAAAGGGGAGGAGAGCAGCCTTACCTGGATGAGGTTCTTGCCCTCGGGCTTGGTGACCAGCGGTTGCAGCTTGGGTGTGGTAAACGTGTAGACAAGACCCGTCTCAGAGACGACGAGCAGTAGAACTTGGGTGCCGGTAAGAACGGACAATTCGTAGGCCTGCGAGGGTTGCCACGGTCAGCAAAAAGAAGGGCTTCCTCTTGGATGCGCGCAGATTGGGGAGTTGTAGGTGGATGCGTGTGTGCAGGATGAGTTCGCGCGGCGCGCACAGGGACAACAAAAAAAATGGGCGGGTTTTTTTGACGAGACAAACATACCTTCTTCATGATACCAGCCTTGCGCTTGGAAAAGGTGATATGCCGACGCGACTTGTCCTGGATGAACTTGATTTCAATCTTTCTTCGCTCACGGCCGGGCTTGTCGTCGTCGTCGTCATCGTCGTCGGCAGCGGCGCGCGCACGCTTGACGCCGCGGTTCTCCATGCCCAGGGAGCCATTTCCGTCGTCGTGGACAGAGGGCGACGCGTTCTGGTCGTGCTCGGTGATTTCGCTGGCCATGGTGGTTGTCGAGGACGGCAGTGTGATGGTGGTTACCGGCAGTGTTTGGCGGACGAGGGCCCTAAACTGGATGCGGCGGAGTGTGGGGAGTTGGCAGGCGTTCTTGCGTGGTTTGGGCGGGCTTGCAAAATGTTACAGAACGAACTGCAGACAGGTTGAGTTTGGTTAGACTCAAAGGTTGACCTCAATAGGAAAAGGAAGCGCGGCCTGTTAAAAGATCGGGCGCTGGTCCCTATGTGATGGCGCAGCAGGAAATGGCAAGGAAAGGTGCGCGGGGAGGGCACGCTCGGTCGCACGGTGCTGCCGGCGGAAAGCGCTAATTACTCGGCGAGCCGTGCGGCAGGGAGTGGCTGGGGGGGGTGTGCCAGCCAGCGTGACCACACTGACCTGCGCGACCGGGGTGCGAGGGGCCAGGCAGGTGCAGCCAGGCGGGCAGGCAGGCAGGCAGGTAGGCAGACCAGGCCAAGCCAAGGGAAAAGGGAAGGGGAGAGGGCAGGGCAGGGTAGGGGTGACGGTTCGTGACGGAAAGTACGCACCTCGTTGTGTGACTTTTTTATTCTTTTTTGTCCTGGTCCTCTTTTTTGCAGTTGCTGGCCGGGCGTGTTGCTTTTCACGCGCGCCGTTGAGGAGATGGAGGAGGTGGTGGTGGATGGGTGTGTGGAGCGAGGGCAACAGTGTAGAATGGGTGGGCGCGTGTGGTTCTCGTGACCCTGCCTTTTCGCTGTGGGGGGGGAGCTGGGCCGCGGTATGCCAGGCGCGGACACGCAGGGACAGAAAAGAGTGGTGCAGCGTCGAGGTGTTAGGTATAGCCCGCGAGCTGTCTTGAGAAGGAAAGGGACGAACGGGATTGGGAATGAAACGGCGGGAGTGGTCAAGTATTTCTCTGGACGGCTGCTTTGGCTGCTTTGGTGCGGGCAGGCCGTCAACTACCCACTGGCAACTGGGGGCGGATGCCGCTTGAGCGCGACCCTGGTCACTGCTCTGAATCGCAGATCGGAACAGGAATCGCAGTCCTGGTGGCGGGCTGGCTACAAACGCGACCAGCAGCGGCGCAGGCTTCCTGGTGTTGTAGTATCTATATCACCACCATCACGACAACGACCATCGTCGCCATGGCTGCCTCGACGAGTGTTTTTGTCGAGGAGCGGGCATCAGGCAGTACGGGCGTCTGGACCAGCTGGACCTGTCAGGTCGCTTTTGGAGATGAACAGCAACGGCCCTCCCACACAAAAACAGCGCCGCCCGTGAGGCCGAGGGCTGCGCTAGACGCCAGCTGGGCACGGCCCGGGACTTGCAACGCCCGTCATTGGCTGCATCGGCGCGCTAGTCCCGCTCAAGTCAGATTGACGGTCAACTGGTGAATGTCGGTTGCCCACCCTCGGGTCGGCCTATACTTGCAAGACACTCACAGACACACGACGCACGGCTTACTCACCCAACTACGCTGCACTCGCTGGCTAGGGCGTGTATGAGAGAGTGTCGCTGTCAGGACTAAGTAAGTAGCAAAGGGCCCGTTGGCCTTGGATTTAGCATTAGCACCACGGCCGGCTTATGTACACTACTACTTATCCACGCCCATATGCATGCCACCTACCTACTGCTACCCAAGTGCCCCCCCTCCCGAATGGCCCATGGGCAGCCCTTGTGCATGCAGACCCATCCATCATCCATCGCCTCCCTAGACAACGACAGCTGCCACTGACTGCCACGGCGGCCGACACTTTGCTTGGTCCAGTCCAACGTCCCGAGGCGGCCCTGTGTTTGGACGGTGCAGGTGCTTGGTGGGCCCCCCCCCGACTGGGAAGCCGCCGCCTGCATCGCTGGGCAAGCACCACCCTTAGCCTCCTTCCCCGTGCGGTCTCGTTTCGCCAGCTGCCCGGTCTAGCCTTCCTCGCCTGCTGAGCGCCTTCCCTCGCCCTTGCCCTCGCTGCACTGTTGGTGGCGCCTGCCGCCTGCACATTTCCCACCCGCCAGCCCTCCAACAAGCCATCCGTCGCCCACTTTATTTTACTTTGCTTTGCTTCACTCTTACTACTCACTTACCCACGTGACCTCCCCCCCACTCCCCCATCACCACTGCCGCCCATCACCATTCTCCATGTCCTCCATATACTTCATACATACGCAAACCCTCATGTCGCATCTCTCACCTCACTCTCTCCATAAGTCCTCTGCTTGCTCCACCTCCCCTTCAGTGGCCGCACCGACGTCGCAAGCGCCAAAACATCGAACCACAATGCCCGTTGTGGCGTCCTCATTGGCCCCACGCTCTTGCTTCCAACACTACTGAAACCTCACACGCATCGTCATGTCTGCAAACTGCAACACAACCCCTCGCAGAGCCTCTTAACGCTGAGCCCTTAACACCCCTAATGCCGTGACTTGGTCTTTTTTCTGTTTTGTGACGCCACTTTTTTGCTGCTTGCGTGTGCTTTGCTGGTCGTGCTCTCTTTCCCTTCTTCTCCTTCTCCTTCTTCCTCTTACATCTAATCTTCCTTTAACCCGTCACTCACTCACTCGCTCGACGCAGTGGTTACCCATCACCGAGTACGCCGGACGAACTCTGTTCCATTCTCTGTTCCTATTTTTTCTTCTTCTTTTTTTGGTTACTTTTGAAGTCTCTGCCAACTTTCAAATCCACTCACTCTTAACCGTATCCAACCGCCAAGATGCCGACCAAGCTGATGATGACATTTGTGGGCATGGACTTGCTCTTTGCTGGCTGTGGAGGGTTGTTGCTGGGCTTCTCCCTCATCTCGGAGCAATCGATGCGTGCCAGTCCTACTGTCGATAATGTCACTAAGAACTTGCTGCTTGGACAGTGTCCCTTGACAGGTACGATGACGGCTCCTAGTGAACACCACTGTGACATTTTGATATACACAATCTATCAATCTTGAAACTATTACTACAACGACATGAACTAACAATGTATTCTAGCTGGTGTCGTCAACGCCATCTTCGTCTTCGTCACCTTCCTCCTCTCCCTCCCAGGTCTCTTCCTCCCCAACAACAGAGGCTGGCTCCGTATCCAAGGCTGGCTCGTCGTCGTCTGCGCTACCTTTACTCTCGGCCTCGGTGTCGCCATCTGGGTTGAGACTCTCGAGACGCGTAGGAACCTCAGTGCCCTCTGGGGAGGCGAGTCTCCTCTTATCCAGTCTCTGTTGCAGCAACGTGTAAGTTCTTCATTAGCCCCCCTACTTAATTGCAAAGGCATACAAGTGTTTTATCAAGTTTGACTAACGTCAAATAAGTTCGACTGCTGCGGCTACGTAAACTCAACCACCCCACCCTTCGTCCAAGACAGCACCTGCCAAAACACGCTCGTCGCCGCGCAAAAGGGCGGCTGCATCGGCAAATTCTCCTCTTTCGCAAACAAGTACCTCGATCAGATCTTCACCGCTGCCTTTGGTATCGTCGGTGTCGACGTCATTCTTGTCCTGTGCATTGCCATGGTGCTCAAGTACCGTATGGAGCAGGAGCGCTACAGGCACATTGATGAGAAGAATGGCTTTGGTGGATTGTAGGGTGGTAATGGTGAGAGTGGGGAAGTAGAAGGGGGTTGAGAAAGAGAAGTAGAGGGGTGATGGGGTGGGGGGAAGAGAAGGAAGATGAAGCAGTGTGAGAAGGGTATCTGATCATTCCTTCTTATTCTTCTTTTTCCTTCTCACTCTTAACCCTTTCAGTCCTCCCTTTTTTTTTCCTTCTCTCTTCCTTCCAGATGTTGTAAATGGTGCTCAGCAAGTGGAGGACAAGAAGAAGAAAGTATTAATTAAAAAAAAACAGTGTCTCAGCAGCGCTGAACAAAAAACTCTGGCGGTTCTAAGTATCATACTCTTCGTTTCTTTTCTTCGTCTTTTTTTCACAAAAAACGTCACTGGGTTGTCCTCTTTGTTCTTTTTTTTTCTTTCCATATAGATATACTGGAAGCTACGTAGCGGATCCTCCTTTTTTTTCAATGTACATAAAAGGCTGAGAATCAGAGTTTTGGTTTTATATAATGTTTGCAATATGTGTGTCTTTTGATTGAAAAAGTGGGGTTTACTCTGGACACACCGAAATAGATGTGTATAATTGTTAATCTTTTTTTATAAGCATAAAGGGAAGAAAAAAAAGAGATATTGTACTACCATTTTTTTCCTCCTCTTCTTTCTTTCTCTGCATTTATTCTTCTTCTTCTTCTTCTTCTTCTTCTTCTTTTTTGCCAAGTAATGCGTACACACGAAAAAAAAATCATGTCACCCATTTTCATGCCATAATCTCTCGTAAATACTGAATCTTTATAAGTTTTCTTGTTCTCTTTCTCTCTCTCTCCCCCCCCCCCCAATTTCAGAACCTATATATGAACAAAAAAATTATTACATATTTTTAGATGCCGCTTCGTAGAACGAGTTTTGCGGAGAAAAACATCAGAATATAGTATCGTTCTATTTTCAAAAACGTTAACTATATGTTTTTGCTTAAGAAAGTTTGGTGTAATGCTACTCATATGCGTTTGCGAGGAGAAAATCACGAAAGAAGAACGGAATATGATAGACTCCAGACTTATTTTTTTTGTCATCAATAACATCACCGTATTTTACAATGTTCGTCTCTCTCTCTCTCTTTATTTTTCTGAATAGTCTTGTTCATTTGCAGTTCAAACAGATAAACTACCTATCAAACACCCACCAATAATACATACAAAACCACCCTCACACAAGCCATCCCCATTTCACACGTCACCGCCCAACCAAACCCCTTCAACATCTCTAGTCCAAAACGTCCGTCATTCTCACTTTCAAAACCCGGACAAGTCATCTCGGAGAGATGGTAGTAGTGTGTCACAAAAGTCCGCGTGTCGGTACCCGAACACTTCAGCCTCCTACCCTTGTCTCCAATATATCCCGGCCGCTCGCCGCACGCCTCGACGCCTCACCTCCCCCCCACACACGTACACACAGACATGCCGTTATTCCCTGGACGCGAAAAAAGAACCGTGCGTGTAGACCCAAGAAAGAAACCCAAGAAAAATTCACATGCTTGTATCTTATTACAGGGCTGTTAATCCAACGATAATAGCGGGGAGACGGGGGAGAGCATAATCAAATAGTTTTAAGGACAACAGGAATACAAAGTGGCATTATGGGACTTTCCCCACGTGATGGAAATTGGTGTCAATGCAAACAAGCGTGGTTTAGTTTTTTTTTTCAGGGTACAACGGGAACTAAGCAACGCAAACCCCCCACCCACGACGACTGAACCAGCACTTAGCTTGCATGAACAAGGCCGCCGTCTCGCAACAAGCCCCATGCAGCGTGACAGGAGACAGGCGACGGGCGACAGGCGGACAGGACGAGCTTGAACATTTTTGGGAGGTGAGGACTAGAGGTGCATGTGCGAGGGCAAAGTGGGGTTTCATCTGCCCTGTCTTGCAGATATTGGCTGCCGTGGCTTGGACGCGACCAAGCGAAGGGGTCAAACGTTTGAAGAGATTCCTTTTCAGGCAGCGGTTGGAGCCTCGTCTCTCTTTCTAGACCGCCTTGGCAATTTCGCTCAAAGGAAATCACGGCTTGCGTGCATGAAATGAGCGTCGAAAATCGTTGCAACTTTTGATGAGGGTGGCTCGGGCGACGCGGGGATGTGCGACACGTACCTGCTCCTGCAGATCCCCCTGAGAGCGTTGCGTGGAACCCAACCATGCCAAGCACTGAGCCGACGACGGTGGGAATTGCTTCTGATTGAGGGGTGCAGGGGTTGCTGCCATCATGGCGCAACTTGTGTGAACGAGGTTTGATTGTTGGTCATGGCTGACGGCATGCTTTGGGAACGTGGGGTCTGGGAGTAGCATCCGAACATCGAGCTATGTTCAAGTCTGCGCAGCATCGACCAAGTCAAGATCAGATTCTTCATTCTGCTTGAAGATGCCGCGCGAGGGTGCAGATGGTGATGGCTTGTGTGTCTTTTTGAAGAACTTGCTGAGCCGGAGCTGGCTGTCTTCCTCGTCATTCCCAAAAACGTCGTGAATCTTCTTGCCGCCTATTCGCGACGCATGTTCCAATCGTGCGCACATTCGCTCTACAGAGTTTTTGGTTTCTAGAATCGCAATGTCCACCACCGCGCCAGCTTCGACAATAGAATTGCCTAGAAGCTTGATCTGCTGCGCAAGTGCATCGATCTGCTCGTTAAACTGCCTAACCTCTGATGAAGCCGGCACTGGAGCTTGAATTGGGGAAGAGCCTGCTTCGGACGGTGCTGAACTTGACAACGGCTGGTACGGCACAGCCAGGAGCCCTGGTCCAATGGCGATATCGAGAAGGGCCAGCCGGGCGGCGAGGCGGCCATAGTCAGTACTCTTATTTATGAAGAAGTCGGGTGAATTTGCAACGTGGTCAAGTACAAGGTTATGTGCCGTATGATCTGCAAGAGACGTGCTGACTGGTGTCGGGTGAAGCAGGAACGAGAGAGCCAGATGGCGCTGGAGGTATGCGGTCAATGGGCACTTTGCTGGAAGGGCGCAGGTCAAGTTTCTCTGTAATACAGGATGGGTGATTTTGGTCAGTAGCTGGGGCATGATTGTGTTGAGCTGGGAGGCGATTAGAAAGGGTACATCGTCTTGTGGAGGAGGGCCTCCTACGCCTGATATTAGCTTGTTGTTGTCGGTGAAATTGCAAATAATGGCTTCCATGGAGTCTTGTACAGCATACAGAACGTCAAAGTCTGCGGTAACACGGGTATCCAAGCATACGTGACATAGTAGATATAATGCATGGCTGCGAGTGGCTGTTTTCAACCTGTGGATGTCAACGACGGTGTTTTTTGTCAGAATCTCTTGTGCTTACCATGGCGCGGCTCGAGTAAGCAGTCTAGTGATTGGTTTCAAAAATGGCGGAATAAACGTTTTGATTTCAGATTGCGGGACAGATTGCGGAAGCAGCTGAGTATTCGACTCGAGTTGTGTGATGTTGGTGCCTATGCTTTTGAATATAGCGTCGAGTCTTTGTGAGTCGAGCAGGTCATGGAGATGGGCATGGTGAGCCTGGTGAATGTTAGAAGTTGTTTTGCATTGAACATGGGTGAGACGCCACCTCGAGGATTTCAAGGTACTTGCAATTAAGCGCCTCATTTTGGTTATAGCAAACTACAAGGATTAGTGGGGGAAAAGTAATAATGAGGCGGTGCGCGTACTTTGATCAATCATCCATGAGGCCAACTCTTTGGGAAGCTCTTGGATACGGAACACGTGCTGTGCAAAGCCGGTCATGAATGCCTGGTCTCTGGTGTCGGGCCGCTGGAAGTTTGAAGCCCAGCGATGCTGGGGAAGGACATTGATGGGAAACTTGGTCTGCATAGGGATCGTGTCTACGTCATGTTCAAAAAAGTAAAAGACAGTTTCCATTTGCGTAGCGTTTGTTCTTTGCATGGCTTGGAGGAGCCGATGGGCTTTGTGCGGGTCATCGTCGTCATCTTGCACGGCCTGACCGAGTGTTTCCTCGTTGATGGTGATTCGCATAGTCACTGGCTCTTCCACAGCCTTGTTGAGCACGGCTTTGTGCTCCTGGATCTTGCGCTCAGTCTCGAGATTCTTCTGGGCCGTCTGTACTAGGGTGTCGAACTTCTTCTTATCGTCCCTGGCCTTCTTGGTGGGTATGCGTAGTCCGTCTTCATCGTTGTCGGAGGTGCGCTTGTATCGGGTGGTGATTGTGGCCGTCTTTGGGGGGTTGGGCTTTGGGGCAGTGACGCCAAAGTCGAGATCGGGGAGGGAGTCATCATCGGAGTCTGAATTGAGCACGACCTCTGTGCCATTGGAGGTAATGCGCCTGCTGGTGGTGGGTGGGACTGGCGCTGTCTGCGATGGTGCGGGGGGGTGTATATTTGTTTGCGGCGGGGCAGGGGAGAAGAAGTCACGGATGCTTCTCTTGTGCGGCTTCATGACTTCATGGCTTGTGGGGTTATATGTGGTGGCTGGTGGTGTATGGCTTCATGGCGGGGTGCAGTCGAGAGGCGGCGTCACGCGTCTGGCGGGCAGCAAGGTCTGGCACGGTATCACGTGATGAATCTTACTAAGAAAAGAAAGTAGTTATACCACGATAGACGTCGGGGGCGGTGGGCGCTTTCGACCGAGCCCGAGATACTAACCCGATGTGGGCATTGACGACATAGAGTGGCCGGGCTGGCGCCTCAGCCGGCATCCGTGCCAGTATGCTCGCTGTTTGGCGCACACATGGTTTGGCAGCTAACGTCGCAGGCTGTCTGTGTTCCGGGTGCGTGGGCTGGGCTGGGGCTGAAAACAAGGCTGTTTGGAGGGGTTTGGCTGATTACAGGATGCTACAGAGGGAGTGTGTGTATGTGCTATTTGTGGAGCGGTGCAACGGCGAGGGTGATGGCATGGAGCATAGCAACGAGGGCAGAGCAGCAGCACAGACGGACTCGGACCCGACCATCTCCCGCCTCATCCAGATGCAGAGCCTCGAGTGGAGTCGGGGAACAGAAGGGACAAATAAAGGGCGAAAAATGACGCGCGACGAGGTGGCTGTCCCCGTCAGCCAACCAGGCCGGTGCTGACTGAGACGGCGCATGCTGATGGCATGGCTGACTTTTGGTCCACGGATCTCTGCGTCTGTATGGTGCATGTCAATATTGCACATTGATAATGCAGATTCCGCACAGCCGTGGGCTTACTAGAAACCATGTCGGCGGCGTGTACTAAGTTAAGTACAGATGCGACAAATCCTATTCTGGCCATCTGGCAAAGACGGGCCACGCGTCACCAAATGCCATGGCCTGCCGCCCGTCGTCGGTACGCGTGCTTCGGACGGTCAGGTCGCAGGGCGGACCTCCGGAAACAAGAGGCGACCTAGCGCCGCAGCGTCTTGGGCGAGCCCGTAGCGGCCGGCCGAGCAACAAGAGGATGAGGCGTGTGCTTTGCCTGCCTACCCGCATCGCTGCCAGTGCCAGTGCCAGTGCCAGTGCCAGTGGAGCTGCTGTCGCTGGTGCTGAAGTAGTATGTAAGCAATCAGCAAAGCAAAAGCCCAAAGCAAAGGACACACCCGCCAGGACAAGCCAAGCCAGCGCAAAGCAACGCACCCCGTCAAGGGTCTGGCAAAGCAACAATAACGTACTTGCGCCCTCTGCCCCCGTTTCCCCTCCTGCTTGCTTGCTTGCTTGCTTGCCCTGCGTCTTACCAGTCGCTGCCATCATCGTCGCCGTCACCGTCGTCGCCATTGCACCGTATTGAATCATTCCCATTGCGGCACAGCCGCATAATCGCTCTCCGGCTGCGCGCCGCGCCCAGCCTAAACTACCGTTTGGTCTTGTAACCGCTGTTTCTCGTCCGCCGGCTTCTAATATCCGCGCCGTCAACCACCCATCTGTTCTCACCCTCCGCCACAACAACAACAACAACCACTACACCTACCACAACCACCCGATCGCCCTCCCCCTCCCCGCCACCACATGTACTGAACCTATCGTCACGCCCACCTCCCGTGCACAGCTCGAATTGGCTTGCACCACCGCGTAGAGCCTTTCTGGCTCAGGCTGCCGCCTCCCCTGCCGTTCCGCAGCTCCCCCGACGACAATCACCATGACGCTGCAAAACGAGCCCGACGAGACAGAGGTCTCGCACCCCCAGAAGCGCATCCGATGTGAGTCGCCTGCCTGCTCTTGAACCCGCTGCTTACCGCCTGCCTGCCTACGACTTGTGCTGACACTGCTTGTAGGGGCCACACATCGCGCGACGGGCACAAAAGCCGCCATCAAGCGAAACTCTCTCAAGGAACGCCTGCACCGGCGCATAGGCTCGGGAGGAGAGAAGCGATATTCGCTCGGCAAGGAAGACGGTTCCCAGCACGGCGACCAGTCGGTCGAGGGTTCAGATGATGTCGAGCCCGAAGTGGACGAGAACGAAGGAGGTCGCAAAGTCTACTTCAACGTACCCTTGCCCCAGAGTGCGCGCGACGAAGAAGGCCACCCCCTCGAATCGTACGCTCGCAACAAGATAAGAACCGCCAAATACACGCCTCTCAGTTTCATACCAAAGAATCTGTGGTTCCAGTTCCACAACATTGCCAATGTCTACTTCTTGTTCATCATCATTCTCGGTGTATGTTTTTGCCCGCCCGCCCCTTCCGCCCACCCATCTCCCCCCCAAAACTGACTAACCCCTCTAGATCTTCTCCATTTTCGGTGCCTCGAACCCGGCACTTAACGCAGTGCCCCTCATTGTCATTCTCGTCGTAACTGCCATCAAGGATGCCGTTGAGGATTGGCGGAGAACCGTCCTCGACATGGAGCTGAACAACGCTCCGGTCCACCGACTTGTCGACTTTAACAATGTTAACACGGCCGAAGACTCGATATCGCTATGGCGCAGGATCAAGAAGGCGACATCAAAGAGCATAGTCACAACCTGGCGGCTTCTCAAGGGTGTTAAAGGTGGAAAGGGAAAGCAGGGCAGCGATAGGGCCGTCGACGTTACCCGGCCTTCAGTCGACACTCGGCGAGCCTCGGTCATGTCGCATACTGAATCATACCTAGGAAACGAAGGCGACATTCAGATGACACCAGTCCCTTCACCTCTGCCTGGGCAGTCCCCTACCCAGTCCCCATCTTGGCCGCTAGGACCCGGAGAGAACGACAAGATTCGCGGCGCTGACTCGAAACCCGAGATCACCCAGAAGTTTTGGGGAAGCGTCTTGAATCCTTACAAGTCTGTCCCCGATAAAGCCCGCTTCAAGAAGGACGCATGGAAGAACGTCCAGGTTGGCGACTTTGTGCGTCTATACAACAACGAAGAAATCCCCGCCGACGTCATTGTCCTTTCCACATCTTCCGAGGATGGCGCCTGTTATGTCGAAACTAAGAATCTGGACGGCGAAACGAACCTCAAGGTCCGCAGCGCACTGCACTGTACCCGTGATGTACGACACGCTCGACACTGCGAACGCGCCGAATTCGTCATTGAGAGCGAAGGCCCCCACTCGAACCTCTATTCGTACAGCGCAGCCATCCGGTGGCAGCAACACAACACAAAGGACCCCGAGGCGCAACCCTATGAAATGATCGAGCCTATTTCCATCAACAATCTGGTCCTCCGTGGATGTCAATTGCGAAACACTGAGTGGATTCTGGGAGTAGTCATCTTCACTGGTGACGAGAGCAAGATCATGATCAACTCTGGAATCACACCTAGCAAGCGAGCCCGCATCTCAAAAGAACTTAATTGGAACGTCGTGTACAACTTCTTCATCTTGGCCGCCATGTGTCTGGTGTCTGGAATTGTGCTGGGAGTTTCGTGGGCTCGAAATGACACTTCGCACTCCGTCTTCGAGTATGGCTCATACGGAGGCGCCCCTGCCACTGATGGTGTCATCGCCTTCTGGGCTGGTGTGATTCTCTTCCAAAACTTGGTCCCTATTTCACTCTACATTACGTTGGAAATCATCCGAACACTCCAGGCCCTCTTCATCTACAGCGACATCAACATGTATTACGAAAAGCTCGACTACCCGTGTACCCCGAAGTCCTGGAACATCTCCGATGATGTTGGTCAAATCGAATACATTTTCTCGGACAAGACCGGAACTCTTACTCAGAACGTCATGGAGTTCAAGAAGGCGACCATCAACGGTGTTCCCTATGGAGAAGCATACACCGAAGCCCAAGCCGGAATGCAGCGAAGACAAGGCATCAACGTCGAGGTTGAAGGTGCAAAGGCCCGTGATCAGATCGCAAGGGATCGTGCACGTATGCTCGAGGGCATCCGGAAGATGCACGATAATCCTTATCTGTGGGACGACGACCTGACTTTTGTTGCGCCCGACTTCATCGATGACCTACGCGGAGATGCCGGAATGGAACAGAAGCGGGCCAATGAGGAGTTCATGCTTGCTTTGGCTCTTTGTCACACTGTTGTTACCGAACGCACCCCCGGCGACCCACCCAAGATCGAGTTCAAGGCCCAATCACCCGATGAAGCTGCACTTGTTGCTACAGCTCGTGATGTTGGATTCACATTTGTCGGCCGCGAAGACGACAACCTAATTTTGAACATCTTAGGACAAGAGCGCAGGTACCAGGTTCTCAACACTCTCGAATTCAACTCCAGCAGGAAGCGCATGAGCGCAATCATCAGGATGCCCGATGGCAAGATCATCCTCTTCTGCAAGGGTGCTGACAGCATGATTTACTCAAGATTGATCCCCAATGAGCAAAGACAGCTTCGCGCCGATACTGGAGAGCACCTGGAAATGTTTGCACGAGAGGGACTGCGAACACTTTGTATTGCTCAGAGAGAAATCTCTGAAGAGGAGTACCAAGAGTGGAGCAAGGACTACGATGTTGCTGCCAACGCCATCCAGGGACGTGAGGACAAGTTGGAAGAAGTGTCTGATCGCATCGAAAATAACCTTTGGCTACTAGGAGGAACCGCCATTGAGGACCGACTTCAGGACGGTGTACCAGAGTCCATCTCGCTTCTCGGTCAGGCAGGTATCAAGCTCTGGGTCCTGACTGGTGACAAGGTAGAGACGGCCATCAACATTGGTTTCTCGTGTAACCTGCTCGACAACGACATGGATCTCATTATTCTCAAGGTCACAGATGATACCATTGCATCCGTGGAAGCTCAGCTCGACGAAAAACTCAAAATCTTTGGTCTCGAGGGTTCCGAGGAGGAGCTGGCTGCCGCTCAAAATGACCACGAACCACCTCCACCCACACATGCCATTATCATCGATGGAGACACACTCAAGCTGGCTTTGGACGAGTCTGTCAAGAGAAAGTTCCTCTTGCTCTGCAGGAGATGTCGATCTGTCCTGTGCTGCAGAGTCAGTCCCAGTCAAAAGGCAGCTGTTGTCAACATGGTCAAGACCGGACTTGACTGCCTTACTCTTGCCATTGGAGACGGTGCCAACGATGTTGCCATGATTCAAGAGGCACATGTTGGTGTCGGTATCGCCGGTGTTGAGGGTCGCGCGGCTGTCATGTCTTCGGATTATGCGATTGGTCAATTCCGCTTCTTGACTCGCCTGGTGCTTGTTCATGGCAGATGGTCGTACCGCAGACTTGCGGAGACCATTGCCAACTTTTTCTACAAAGTGAGCCATTTTTCATAATTGCCAACTTGTTTATACTAATATGCAATAGAACATTGTTTGGACCTTTGCCCTCTTCTGGTACCAGATTTACACCAACTTTGACAGCCAGTATATTTTCGACTACACATACATCATCTTCTTCAACTTGGCGTTTACGTCACTCCCTGTTATTGTCATGGGTGTTTTGGACCAGGATGTCGATGACAAGGTGTCTCTGGCTGTTCCACAACTATATCGCCGCGGTATTGAGCGCAAGGAGTGGACGCAACCAAAGTTTTGGTACGTGTGATGCTCCAGAATTACTTGAAAATTTCTAACATATTTGTAGGGCGTACATGGTTGATGGTATCTATCAATCTGCCATTGCTTTCTTCTTCCTCTATGAGATATTCGAGCCCGCAACTTTTGCAACCTCGAACGGCTTGGACATTGCCGAGTACCGACGCATGGGTATCTATGCCGCTACTACTGCCGTCTGTGCCGCCAACATTTACGTTCTGTACAACACTTACCGATGGGATTGGTTAATGGTCCTCATCGTCGTCATCAGTACCCTCTTCATCTGGCTCTGGACTGGCGCCTACACCTCCTTTACTTCCAGTCAACAGTTCTACAAGGCCGGAGCCGAAGTCTACGGAAACCTCAATTTCTGGGCATACGTTCTGTGTGCTACCATGGCTTGTTTGCTTCCCCGTTTCATCTTCAAAGCCACGCAGAAGATGTACTTTCCGTTGGATGCCGACATTATTCGAGAGCAAGTCAAGCAAGGCAAATTTGACTATCTTAAAGAATCCACTTCATTCATTCCTCCGCCGCCAGAGAAGTTTGCTTCTTCACCAGATTCGAGCATCCCAGAAGCCGATGTTTCCAAGTATACGGCTGCAAACGCTACTCCTACTGACGAAGATGTACGACCAATATATCCCCCTTCGGTTGCGCCCACAGCCACGACGCATAACCCGAGAAGCCAAAATGGAAGCAATAGCACCGACTATACCTTCCGTCGCTCCATGGAAGGCCTCCCACCAGCACCCACTTCAGACGCTCCTCCCATCAACACCCGCATGTCGACTGAATGTCGTGTGCGACCGAGCTACGACCGTGCGCGCATGTCGATGGACCGTGTACGCCCTAGTTTCGAGCAGAGCAACGATTTTACGTCAGCAGCTATGCTGACGCGACTCGAGTCGTCGCATAGCCGAAACAGCATCCAGGGCAACAGGGCCAGCTACCAGGTCGCAGATGGTGCCAACGCACAACCGGCCGTCATGAGCCGGTTACGCAACGCCATACGAAGAGCAACGATTACGCGCGAAGAGCTGCCCGAGCATCTCCGACAACATCAGCAACAACAATCAAACGGCGAGGATGTACCAGACGTACCGCCGGTATCCAAATCGCCAGTGCCTAAGTCGCCTCCTGCGAGCCCGCCCAGGTAGTCCCTGTGGCGGTTGGTTGTTTTGAAACGAAAACCGCGCACGCGGGAGGGGGGTTTGGGTTAGGACTAATAAAATGTTAATGTTTTGTGCTTGGCTTCTTTGAAAAGGGTCTTTTTTTGAACAGACAAGAAGAAAGAAAGAAATTAAAGCGATACAAAGGGAAATGAATGAATTGCATAGCGTTGCGGGGGGAGGGGAAACCTTGCCAGTCTTTTTTTTTCAAACTTCTGTTTTTTGATTTTTCGTTTCCCCCTCCCCCTCACCCAGTCTCCCACTCTTGTTTTGAGAATTTTTATTATTTTTGCTCTACCGTTTTGTCCTTTTATCTTTTTGTCCCTCCTTTTTTCCATCACCTGCCCTTCCTATCTGTTTCGCGCACTCGTATACCTTTTGTTTTTATTTTACCATTCGTTGCCGCTTTTTTTATTGATGAAAGGAACTCTCATCCTACGACTCTGGTGTTATTTTCCTTTTGTGTAAATACATCCACTTCTCTTTTTTTTCTGCTTCTGTTTTTTTGGATGGATCCTTGGATTTACTCTGAATCCCCTTGGGTTCTCGACCCTTCTTCGTTAAAAGGAGGGATGGGTTGATATGGGAATGTCGTACGTGGCGATGAAAGAGGAAGGGGAAGGGACACGGTGAGAATGCGATATGAAGGGGTGGTTAGTCGTATATATACATATACACATATATTGGATTTTAGTACCCATGGAAATACCAGAGTCTGTCATTTGAATGGTTTTGTTGAAGACTGGAGGTGATGATGTGTCTTTGTTGTATGTTTATTGCGGGTATCTGTGAGGAGCGTTACTACTTTGTGTACAGCGCTAGTGTATACGCATGACGAGAGAGTGAAACAGTTTCTTCCAACTCTTGATCACATTATCATCTTCGTCTCACTTCTCACCTACACATCTAACGTTTCGAGATCAATCTCACTCTACCTCCAACCTCAACGCATCATATTGCACATACACCGCCTCAGGCAACACCGCACTCTCATTCCCCGTCGCATTATACGGCAGTGCCAACACAATCTCATTCTCCCCTTCCTTCAGTAAATCCCCCGAAAACACGAATTTGTGCGCCAAATGATAGCACGACACTGCCGAACGCACAGCGCAGGATGAAGACTGGTAGTACCTGTATCCCACAATATTAGCTTTTACTTCCTCTTACACCGACAACCACACCATCTTCATTATCGATCTTGGAGTGGGGGAAAACTTGAAGGAAAAAAAGGGGGGGGATAACATACGGAATAACCCAATCCTCCAGCCCCTCCCCATTCACCATCACCCTAAGCGGAAGATTCGCCCATCTCTCCCCAGTATCTAGATCCGTATTCCCCGCCGCCGTCTTCGCACCCGCCAGTTGCACCGTGAACGTTGCTTTTCCGCTCTCCTTCACATCGCCCTCTTCTACATCAAACCGTATACTCCAATCGTACACGTGATCCGGCACAGGTACCGGTCGCAGGCTATTCGCTTTACCGCCGAACACAGCCCAGTGGACGTAATTGAGCGCTTGGGCTGGATCGTCTTTGCCGACGCGAAAGTGGATGCCGGTGGGGAAATCGCGGATGAAATCGTATGCCGCCCAGTAGAGTCTGTATTCTTCTGTGAGGAGGGGGTGGGTAGGAGAGGGTGCGGTGCCGTGGAGGAATTCGCCCGAGGATTTATCGGGAGTGCCGATGCGGAAGAGTTCTTTGCCTGCGGATTCTGGCGTCCAGGTTATGTTTAAGGAGGTGGTTTGGGAAGCGGAGATGAGGAGGGAGTCGTGGGTGTAGTCGCCGAAGATGGAGGAGGCGGAGAGGGTTAGGCGGTAGGATCCTGGTTTTACCCGGGGAATGGAAATGGTGCCGGTAGAGGGGATGGGCGTCCAGTATTGGTATGCGGTGCTGTTTGCGGCGTTGTCTTGGTAGTTGTGACCGGTGGTGGTGAGGATGGCGATGGGGTTTTGGGCGCCGGTGGGGAGAGCGATGTTTGCTGAGAAAGTACCGCGGGCAGATGAAGTAATGAGATTCGGGACGTGGGCGGCGATGGAGTCGTAGAAGGGGGCGTTCCAATCTGGACGCTGACCGTACTGTTCTGCATCTTTACGCAGTTCAGATAGCGTGCCGCCGGTGTTGAAGTGGAAGTATTGCGGGCCGAATGTGCGGTCGAAGCCGTTGGTTATGTTGGGGGTTTGGGCGCCGTGATGGTTGGAGACCATGTAGTTGTAGACGATGCCGTCGACGACGAGATCTGAGTGTGTGGGACCGCCGAAGTAGGTTTCGACAGTGTTGTGGACGAGCCAGGCGCCGTAGGTGGTGCCGTTTGTGGTGCGGCCATCGGCGTACATGCCGTGGGCGAGGTGGTTGCGCCAGCTATCTTGGAAGGTGTACTTGGTGAAGTAGTCTCCTACACCCTTTACGTATGGGTCATCTTTGTTGACGAGCTGCCAGGTGGCGTCTTGAACGACTACTTGTCCGTTTTGATCTGGACGTGGTGCGGAAAACTTGTCATTGGTGATGAAGTGGGTGAAAAGTGGAGGGTCATGGTTGGGTCTGAATAGAGTCCGGAACTCCTGCAGGTTCCGCAGAAATGGCGTAGTCTCGTTGTAGTATACTATTCGGCTGAACGTGTGGAGTCCCGTCTCGCCTTCTCTCAGGAACCAGTATTGCTCAAGCCGTTGACCGGTAGGCGCATAGGTTTCTCCCATGCTAATACCGCCATATGGAGTGCCTGTCGAGTCGGTGCCGTTGAATAGTTGATATTGAACATCCTTACCACGGCCAGGCGTCCAGAAGCCACTTGGAGTACTGTTTGGAGTAGAATGGTCAGCTCATCATATCTGTGCTCTTCGAGTATGATTTTCACGAACCAGTAGCAATCAAGATAAGGTCCAACACCAGTGTTACCAGATTCCGTTCCAAGAAGGTTTTGGCCGTCAAGTGTCAAAACATTGATATATCCTTTGGATTTGCTAACCGATGCAACCAGCCGGTTGTTAGCAATAGTGAGACTCTGATTGTTTTGACTGGCTTTCAGAAAGGCCCATGTATTGGTACAGAATAGAAGCGTCGCTGTGACTGTAATGGCACGCATGATGAATGCTTAGCGATGCGACAAAGACGTCTTGGCTCGATGGTGTTCTTATTTCTATTGTTTATAACCAAACATCCGGGAAAATTAATATAGAATGACGGGTGGACTAGTCGGAATCTAGGGTAAAGGAGGAGTCCGGGATACGGATAAATACGCTAGTCGGGCCTTCGGTGGGATGTAGGCCGAAAATGGCCACCATTGAAGTTCGTCTACTTGCGTACGGGACAAGTGGTGAATTAGTTCTTGACTAGGCAATGTGGGGCTGGAGATGTATACTATGGTCCCAGGATGTTACCTGAGAACCTAGACATGCCTTGCGAGAGCCCTGGTAGTGCGTACTTTGCCAGAGGCTTTCGCACGTCACAGTGTGTTAAATTACACAGCATCACCCCAGTCTCTCTCAATATACTACGTTTGGATGTTTCGAAAGAGATTATAAGTTTCATCAGATTGTTATACGCTCTAGTGTAGAATCTGAAATTTGAATCATCTGTCAACAGGCCCATATGCTAATGAGGTACAAAACGAAAACAATACTAGTGGTACATCGACTGTGCACTAATCCATCATGTCTCTCGATCTAGCGACTGCGCCAGAATCATAGCATAGCACCGACCTCTCCTCGCAACAAGCTCCCCATGGGTCCCCTGCTCATCTACCCGCCCATTGTGCATTACCAAGGTACAGCCACACCGTTTGGTTGTCGACAATCGATGCGCAACTGCAACACATTCGTCAATCATTGTCAAGTCACACCATATACTGTGCGAATTGAGATGATTCAGAGTCTGCTAGTTTTGGCAGAGTGAGGAAGTTCGAGTCATCAATACCACTACAGGACTGGTTATCAGGATAGAGTTTGAATGATCTTGTCCGCGGCATGGCGTGCTGGAATCGGGAATCAGCAATTGGCAATTTGAGTTTCAGACCAGCAAAGACATGGATCCTCAATAACTCAAGACAATACATCCTCAATTCATTCAGCAGTGATATGCGAATGTTCAGTGGGGGAGATATCATAACCCAAATGTAGTACAGAATGGATCGGTCCAATGAAATCGTGGCTTGGTACGTCATCATCCGGCGCTAGATCGCCATATCTCTCACGTGGCAGCAACACACCGTAAGCTGCGTCTTGACTCTGGACACGCCAGAAGACCTTCATTCTCTTTTTTTTTACCCATGGAAATATGAGCTCCTCTCAAGCTGAGAGAGAGCCGTTGCTCTCCCAAGCACCGGCCAAAGTCATAACATTCGAACCTAACGATCCCGAAGACCCGCGCAACTGGCCTGCAGCGCGAAAATGGCTTATGGTTGCCGCGATAATACCTATAGATCTCAGTGTCTCTTGGGGCGCCAGTGGATTCAGTCCCGTCGCGAGTGACTTTGCAAAAGATATGGAGGTGTCTCCCAGCGTCGCATTGCTGGGGCTGAGCATGTACGTGCTTGGACTAGCTTTTGGACCTATGACTCTAGCACCACTCTCAGAGTACTACGGACGCAGACCTGTGTACATCGTGTCTTACGGAATATTCCTACTCATGCTTCTGGGAACTACATATGTTGAGACTCTCGAACCTTTCCTTGTCTTGAGATTCTTCTCTGGCTATTTCTCTTCAACAACGATCTCAAATTTCGGCGGAACCATTGCAGATCTCTTCCATCACAACGACACGGGTCCAGCAATGTCCTGGTTTCTCTGGGCAGCCACGGGAGGAAGTCCAACTGGATTTGTGCTCTTTTCTTTCATTGCACAGGGCAGATCATGGCACGATGTGTTTCGGATCATGCTGGCCATCTGCTTCGCTTTTTGGATTATCCTGGTTGTAACTCTGAACTTTTTGGGAGAGACCAGACACAGTGTGATATTGCTAAGAAGGGCGAGAGCGCTGCGCAAAGTAACAGGAGACGATAGCCTAGAGGTACCAGATGCGCTGAAGCAACGAGGACCGAAACAACTGTTCGGCACCGCACTTGCGAGACCATTCCGATTTCTCGGTACTGAAGCCATCGTTCAGTTTGGTGCTCTCTACAACGGCTTTTTATACGGACTTTCATTCCTGTTCAACGGCGCTTTTCATATGATCTTCGGACCAAGTGGCTATGGATTTGACACTATTGGCGTTGGCATCTGCTTTCTTGGGATAGTTGTGGGCATAACGGTAGGCCTCATGACAAACGTATTTCAAGAAAGATACTACCAATGGCGTGTCGCTCAAGCCAACGGTCATGATGTCCCAGAAGCACGGGTGCGTTATGCAAAACTGGCCGCTATAGTGCTGCCGATATCCCTTTTGGCTTTTGCATTCACAGCTACACCGCACATCCCCCCGCTATTTACAGTATTTGCAAGTGCCTTCTGGGGATGGTCCTTCTATACTCTTAGTAAGTTTCTGTCTGTGATTAAAAATGCCCTGATCTCACAATTTATGTGTAGTACTCATGACCCTCACATACACTGAGGATGCTTACAAAACATACTCGGCATCAGCACTTGCTGGGATCGGACTCATCCGAAACCTGGCTGGGGCTGGGTTTCCACTTGTCGGCAGACATCTTTTTCTGAACATCGGCACTAGAAACGCAAGCTTAGTACTGATGGCTATCGCTATCTGCTTAGCGCCTATACCATTCGTACTCGAGGTGCGAGGAGCATCGCTACGCAAGAGAAGCCCCTGGGCAGCTGCGCACGAGGATGAAAATGAAGACGACTAAGATTCAACACCAGACGCCCTGAGCCTTCTGATGCCTAGCCGATTTCAGTTTCGTGCTTCATCTCCCAGAACACAACTGTCGCAGAATGGCAAGGACTTTGAAAGCTGCAAAGAAGATGGCCTGATCTAGGCAGTGGTATCTCAGTTTCAATTCATCAATTGTACGCATGTATCTTGAGTAAAAGCATCCACTTTACCAATGCAGCATGGTGTCATCTATTTAGGCCCGCAACGTGGGCGCCGTTACTCCCGGTCTTGCCGCGCCAACGAGGCCCCAAGATATTATTCTTGTCCAACAGCCTCGCGAGATGTGTGTTTGGTACCTGAAAGCCGCCTGTCATTACTCGGGTCAAGCGCATGGGCCTTTGTTTTGGTGGAGTGTATGGCACGTGACCTGTCTCTACCGCGCCATACTTACACCTCATTGGACTGGACAAAGCATGAAGACAACAAGTACTCGCATAATAATGTTTCAAGCACGACAGAACAGGTTGTTTCAGACGGGGCCGAGCATTTAGCGCGTAGTCCCGTCGAGCGTTACTGGCCAACCAACGTTGTCCCACAGCCGAGCTGCGGGCGCGTAACGCTAGGTCTCGCGCTGGCCCATCTACCCGCCTATCCACCCGCCAAATCCTGCCAGGATATTCTTAGAATCCGTTCTGTACATATGAACGAGGCTCTGCGCTCAACAATGGCATCATCCAACAGCCTCAAGATTCTCTTTCCTTCTGTCATTCCATTAGGTTCTTTTCTTATCATTCTGAGTGTGTTCTGCGAACAACTCATCATATCATTTCTTTGAAAAACTCGCATTCTTTCTTTCGTCAAATCTCAGCATTGCATCGGCGCCAAACTCTCATCTCATTTGAACGATCTCTATATTTTCTCTTTGAAAAGTTCGCTCGATCACACGCAAGCCGTGTTTAATCGAACCACCGTATACCAGGTCTCAATCCGATACACTACAATTCGAACGACTTCGATAGTCCACTTCACATCTTATTCATCACGAAAAAATATACAAAGTCGCAAAGATGTCTTGCCAACCTCTCAGCTCGGTTCCTCCACCACCCACCACCCTGCCCTCCTGCGCAGTACCCATCGGCGGCTCAAACAGCTCAATCCTGGATGCCTGCTGCAACGGCCACATCAACGCCATTGCCACATATTCAGCCCCAGAAACCACCTCATTAACACCCCGCGATTCAAAAACACCTGTAATTGTCAACTCAGAGGACGGCGATGATTGCTTCCAGTACTGCATCACCGACTCCCCAGACATTGTCGAGACCTGTCTTGCAGAGAAGATGCAAGCTTTCGATAAGGAGGGCGCTACCGGTGTTGGCATGTTTGGGTGCTTCAATGCTGAAAAGGCGGTTGGTCCGAGGAAGACCAACGGTGGCAATGAAGGGTCGTACGTGAACGCTGGGCTGAAGATTAGCGGGAGCTGGACCCTATCTCTCCTGGTCGGGTTGAGCGTTGTTGGTGCGCTTATTTGAGAAGTTTCTGTTATCACTACGGGATTGTAGTGAAGAGCGTCGTTTTCTTTTCTTCTTTTGCATATCAAATGGTTAGCGTTAGCGATGGCATCGCGTACTCGGATTTTGCATTCATCGGCGTTGGTATTGAATTACAATGAGTAATGAGACAACTCAAATCAAAGGGCGGTAACTATCTAGTTTGACACTAGAAAAACGAACCCAATACATCTGAAGCTGAATTCATTCGTGTCCTGGTTATGTTCTAGTTGCATTGTGGAACCACCTCAGTACCGCGCAGCTTACCATGCCCGACTGTGAGTTCACACAGTGGTTGCCGAGATGCTATATTATCATGCGTGGAAAAGATTCCAACCAAAAACTAGGCCTATCAATCGGACCTGAATACGAACATCAATGGCAGATAAACCAATGTATGTACGCTACAGTCACCCAGCAATGGCGCATCCAAGGCCTACGCGTAGACTCCCTACCGTAATGTTCGATTATTTTGAAGCACAAGGAAAGCAAGGCTCACCCCTTGGCTTGTTCTTGCAGAGGCAACAGCAGTTGCAGGAGGAAATGAATCGTGAGGGACCATGGGGGCTTCGCCCCGCTTTCTTGCCAACGAGCTATGCGAACAGCAACGCCCCTCCACCAACTGTCAATCAGGAGAGTATCGGAGGTTATCTAAGAAAGAAGGCAATGATAGCATATGCGCAAGGTACCGCTCGCGCTCGTGGGCAATCTTCATATTTTGCACAGCTGGCGTCGCTTGAAGCGGGGTTGAGTCGGCTGACGCTGGAGGATAAGAGGAATTGAGGGCGTCAAATATCATAGTAGATACAGATACAATATCCAGACCTGCTATATGTGTTCTATCACATATAAAAATACACTTTACTTTGCTTTGTAGAAACTGTATTTGAAGATTGGTGACTGAAAGTGAAATGTGATGGTTCCCCGCAGTAACTAGCGCTTAGTAGCGCAGACCCCTGCCCGCCGATGCAGGAGCGTCATATCTTTTTTCTGGACGCGCGAACAGTCACAACACAACTACACAAACTTTTCACTTTTCTCATACACAAAATGGCTTCAGAAAAGAAGGTAGCAGAGAACATGCTCTGGGGTGGCCGTTTCACAGGTACGTGTTGTCCAATGACTCGAATGGCTTATACGAACTCGTTTGGCATGACTTGATGATACTGAGACGTGCACAGAGGGCCTTGACCCCGTCATGGAGCAGTACAACGCTTCGCTGCCCTACGACCGCCTCTTCTACGCCGAAGATATTGCTGGCTCTATTGCATTCGCCCGAGCCAACAAGAACAATGGCATCCTCACCGAAGACGAGTTCGCTGCCATTGAGAAGGGAATGGCACAGATCAAGGAAGAGTGGGCCTCCAACACGTTCGAGGTCAAGGCAAATGACGAGGACATTCACACTGCCAATGAAAGGAGGCTGAGCGAGATCATCGGCAAGGACATTGGCGGAAAGCTTCACACAGGGCGCAGCAGGAACGAGCAAGTCGCAACCGACATGCGGTTATGGCTGCGAGAGCAGCTCAAGGTGCTTGAGGGTTATCTCAAGCTCCTGATAAAGACTTCAGTGCAGCGAGCAGAGGCTGAGATTGATATCCTCATGCCTGGCTACACACATCTCCAGAAAGCCCAGCCAGTGCGCTGGTCTCATTGGATACTTTCACACGCAACCGCTTTCGCATCCGAACTTGAGCGACTCCGCGAAGTAATCAAGCGCGTCAATAAGTCCCCGCTCGGATGCGGTGCGCTTGCGGGTAACCCGTTCAACATCGACCGTCACGCTATGGCCAAGGAGCTCGGCTTTGAGGGCCTCTTGCCTAATTCGCTGAACGCTGTCGGAGATCGCGACTTCGTCTTTGAGACATTACAGTGGGGATCTAGCTTCATGCTGAAGATGTCTCGTTGGGCGGAGGATTTGATCATCTACTCAAGTCTGGAGTTTGGCTTCGTCCGCCTAGCTGACGCATACTCGACTGGAAGCTCTTTGATGCCCCAGAAGAAGAACGCAGATTCACTCGAGCTTATCCGCGGCAAGAGCGGTCGTGCATTCGGACACATGGCGGGCCTGTACGTCACCATCAAGGGTCTGCCTACAACCTACAACAAGGATCTCCAAGAATCGGTCGAGCCCCTCATCGACCACATCAAGACGGTCAGCGACTCTATCCAGATTGCCACTGGTGTCCTGTCGACGCTTTCCGTCAATGCCGATAAGATGCACGCAGCGCTGGCTCCTGAGATGCTGGCAACAGAATTCGCAGACTACCTTGTTAGGAAGGGCGTACCATTCCGCGAGGGCCACCACATCTCCGGCCGTGTAGTCGCATTGGCCGAGAAGGAGAACGTACCCATGGATAAGCTGAGCTTGGAGCAGCTTAAGGGCATTGACTCCAGGCTCGGTGATGATGTTGTAGAGTGCTTGGACTACGAGCGCGCGGTCGAGCTGAAGAATGCTACTGGTGGTACCAGCAAGAGCGCTGTCATGGAGCAGATAGACATTCTGAAGCAACTTCTTTGAGCGAAGTAGATCTGGGCGTATGGAAATTAAGAGTAGAAAAATACCGTAACATCGCTACGTCATCAGCGACGGTATATGAGAAATGATAATTGTACGACTGGTTGTCCAGTATGACCTTGTGCACGCGTCTACCCCACTTTGCTGGCCGCGGTTCCGCGAACATGGTGATGTGACCATATTGAAGAAGAACATATCTCTACGTCACAATCGTTCGATAACAAGGGCTCACTTTCTCAAATTTGAGTAGATTTCCAACTATGCAAGAAACCCGTCGAGACTCGCAAAGCGGCGACGTCGTTGTCCCCATTAACTACTTTCCTGCCACAGGTATTCCGATCCCAAAGTCCGCTTGGAAGACGCCATTCCTAGATGATCACAATGAACACACTCGATACATGCTCATACGAGATGCACGCACGAGCGGTAAAACCTTTGATCTCGACACCAATGGGTTCACCTTCGTCACGCTACCACCGAAAGACCGAGTAACCCGCGAAAGCACCGAAGAAGAAGTAAAGCGCGAATACTACCCAGAAGTAGAGGAAATCGTAAAGAAACTGTAAGCCCTCCCATTTCGCATACTAATCTCAAACAAAGTTGAATAAAAGAACCCACCAACTCACCATCGTGACCAACACCCAAACAGAACCGGCGCCACAACCGCCCACGTCTTCAACCACGTAATCCGCGCGCATACCTCACCCAGCGAAAAAGGCATCCTCGACCCAAAAGGCCGCTGGCAAGACATTCCCTCAGGCCACCCACACGTCGACTACGCCGGCAGTCCCTCGGCCATCGCCGGCACCCAACTCGAACTCTCCCTCCCACCCCACATCTCCACCCTCTTCACATCCTCCCGCCGCTTCGCCTTCCTCGGCGCCTGGTGTCCGCTAAAACCCGTCCGCAGAGACCCCCTCGCCGTGTGCGACGCCACCAGCGTCCCGGACTCCGACTACCAGATCCGACAGAGGGAATTCAGTCGTACGGGGATTAAGAGCGAGAATTACGTGATGAGTCATGGGGAGCAAGGGAGGCAGGTGCATCAGTGGTGGTATTTGAGTCATATGATGCCGGATGAGATGGTGGTGTTTAAGGGGTTTGATACTGAGAGGGGGAAGCCGGGGTGGAGGTGTCCGCATACGGCGTTTAGGGTGCCGGGGACTGAAGGGGAAGAGGCGAGGGAGAGTATTGAGGTTAGGGCTGTGGTGTTTTGGGAGTAGAGTGGGCGGAAATGTAGGAATCTGGTTGGATTGATGAAGCATGATGGGGTTTCTATGATTTTAGGCATGATGAGACGTTCGTCAGGTAAGCGATTGTCAGTTCTGAGGTAGTGTTAACCTACTGTTTGTTCAATACTGTTGTTGCCTAGTGCAAAATAGTATTATTGGTTATATGACCCGTACTTTAAGTGATGAAATACTTTGTATCTCACACATGTCACCATATTTACATCTACAGCTCAACCTTGTTCACTTGCCTACTAGTTCGTGGATTCCAATGCATCTGTACTATGCATGTTGTGATTGCAGCTTTAGCTGCCTTTTACGATCAGTTCCTAGAGGGGTTTCGTGCACGAGTAAATACAATCCATTTATCTCTAAGAATCTCTACGCCCATTAGCCATGCCAAAAACTTTATGAATCTGCGTATTCAGAGAATGTATGGTCACGTGAACAAAGACCAGAATTTCCACCAGCCTAACTAACCCAACCAGCCAAAACGCCAATCATAAGATCATCCATAAAAGTAACAAAAATTTAGCCATCTGCAGGAGTAACCGGAGGTACCCATCGCCACGGTAGGTTTTTAGAGTAAGAGAAAGAAGTCTTCACGTGACTAGCACCACAACCTTCACGAAACCGGTGAGAAAGTTAGTTAAAAACCAGTGCTCTGCAGAAGCCGTGGGTGCGCCTTGCCTTCTATATGAAATGGGCAATAACTCTGTAGCCTGATGCTCACCGGTGTGTCTATTTAGGAAAGGCTTCGACCCACCTGGATGCCTCAAGGTCAAATGAACATTAGTCAGGTAACCAATGACGGACGCCAGTTTTTTGGCCCCCAGACGAATCCCGCACACCATTGGCTCGCTCACCGGGCGGTGTTGAAATTCTGCCAGATCACTGAGGCTGTGCCAGAAGTGTGACGAGGCTGTGTAGGGTGCAAATGCAACGGGGAGCTACACAGCCTGGAAAATTGCGGCGATGCAAGCACAGGAGAACTGAGATAGTGAGACGTTTTTACGCTAGTCCCGTTCTTATCTAGTAACACATACATATGGCCGACTGTATGATTTTGACACTCATGCTTGGTCGTCTATTACGAGTATTCTATATGACTATCGTTGTTGGGAAAAGTTTCCCACCGCCTTGAAATTCAGATGGGTTCTAGCAACTTCGAATTAGATTTTTACAGCGGAGGATGCGAGGCCAACGTGCTTGTCCTGCGAGACCGAAGGGCAGAT